AGTTGGTATAAAGAAAAAAGAGCGCAACAAGATTCTGTAGATAGTCAAGCTTCTGCCCAGGTTGAAACAAAATTGCAGCTTTCTCTGAATCTGCTTTAGTGAGTCAATGAATATAGCCTCAGAGCTTCGGACCGTGCGAGCGCGCCGCAAAGGTCAGTCGAGCGCGCGCCGGATTTTCGGGTGGCCCGGCGATTGGGGCGCGCTCGCACGGCGTGTAGGGCGCGCTCGCTTGGCAGTGGGTGGCCGCACGCACGGTACCAAAAGTTTTGAACACTTGTTCTGGAGCATTTTCATTGCTTATTTATGTGTAGTGATAGGTAGTGTGCCAGCAATGACTTTTAATATTTATTTCTGCATTCACAAGAACATTATAACATTATAACAATAAGAACATTATAACATATTATCAACCTTAAAACATTACTATAACAACATTATAACATTACATTATAACAAGTAAGCATAACCAAGGAGACATAGCAAAATTTACAAAGTATTTTGAGAAACTGTGTTCTTTTTATCTGAACAGGCAATCAATCGCACAGTTGCTAGATGCCATATACAAGAACGGCACGCGAGTTAGACACAATACAATGACTTGCAAACTAAATCCAAAGCAGTACTCTTGAAGAATTTTCTCGATATATGTGTGAGATGAATGTGATGTTAAATCAGTTCAGTCTGCGGCTTCCACTTGAATTCTGAGAGCAGTGCTATGCAAGGACATTGCTTCGTTCTTCCTCGAAGCCTAAAAAACACATTTATGCGCAAAGAAAAGAAACTAGCATAAAACAAATACCTTTCAATTAGTGGCTCTCATTTTTTGTCTCTGCAGCTTGCTGGAAATACTTTATCACAATGTGCAACAATTTTAGAAGGCCATACCTGTTGTGCCAGTGGATTCAACTAAACATCCGAGCCAATCAATATTGAAGCGTCCATTTGGATAGACAGCAGGTCACCACACTTGAGGAAGGAAGGATGTCACACATCGTTATGAAGTGCGAAGATCTATCATATTAATAGAATGAATCACTGAAATAGTCAAGTAAGTAGAAACATCGAATAAGAAATCATTGGATGTTATGTACAAGAAACAAAGGCAAAAATAACAAAAGTTTACGTTTGGCACAACTTCAGTGAGAAGAAACTCCCACGAGAAGCTTCAACACGGTAAAACACTAAAAAAAGACCGAAAAGAGGAACTGCGATCCACATACCGTGCCTATTTTTTCAAAAACAGTACGTGAATGCCCGTCAACAGCGTTGTGCACGAGCTACCACAGAAAAGAATGGCTGACCTCTCGTGCGACAAGCGGCGCGCTCGCACGGAAGCTTGCTCCGCCCCTGCATTTGGGCTAGCCGCTCGCACGGAAGCCCGAAATTGCGGCGCGCTCGCACGAGGCAAAGCCCTGAGGCTATGAATCAGTGTTTGGATTGTGGTGCAGAAAACTCGTCCATCTAGCGGTAGGCGGAGCCAACGGTGCGCACCTTATTGACACCCCTGCCAGAGCACGCGCTATAGTTCATGAAATTCGCCACCTGCCATATGGAACCCTGCATTCGTTGATGTGGATTACATTTTTCTACAAAGAACTTATATAATCGCTAAACAAGTGCAAAATTATGTTTTTTGATGAACGCATGTGTGACGACTATTATTTCTAATCAGGTTCTTAAAGGCAGCATCCACACAAATCTTCGTCTTCCATTGTTATTCTGATGCCTTTTAGTGGCCCTGACTACGGATATGGAGTGCAAAATGTGCAAAACTTCCAAAAAATCCGATTCTTGGAAGCCCCTATCCTATAGACACAAAACAAACAACTTTCAGTACCTGGGTGGGAGAAGCTTAATAAGGTGCACGTACCTTGATAACCTTTTTGCGGAACCCAGGTCTATTTTTTCCATTCATGCTAAAATTGTGGTACAGAAAACTCGTCCATCTAGCGGTAGGCGGAGCCAAACCGGATCATGCAGATGTCCTGTTCCTGCGGCCTTCCTGTAGACTAACAAGGGGAGGATGGTCAGATGAAGTGGCCTTTTGATATGAGATGTATACACTCATGAACCGGGAACGGAACAATGATTCCAAATCTTCTTCACTTGCTGCGGGCCTTTGTTCAAGGAGTTTTGTAGGTTTCTGTAAAAAAATCGCCCTACCGGTGTAAAGTCAATCGCTACTTTTCTCCTAGCGTTTAATGAGGCAGCTGCTTATTGTATGTTTGAATGAGGAATATTTATTGCACAGAGTGATCAGGCAATCATTCAGGCCATAGACTGTCAAAACTGTTTTCATCATAAAATCGCAATCAATTTCTTGCTCTTAAAAACCCTCATCACTTCTCGCCGAGAGACCCGCAGCAGATAAAGAAGGAGGATTTGAAGTCAGCGTTCTATGCTCTTCAAAACAGTTTACATCTCATCGCAAAAGGCCACTTCGGCTAACCGTCCTTTCCTTGTAAGTAATAATCAGGGGAGCATAGACTTTACCTGGATGCTACCTTTAAGAGTTTCAGAGACATGGACATTTACAATATATACCAGAGTGATTAGTTCGCAATTCTAAATACTCTTTCTCATGCGTTTCATTTGAGTTGCAGTAGAAAGTTCTAGTGCTAAGATATAAAAATCTGCAAGTGAACAGTGTGATTCTACTCCTCTATGTTTACGATTGCTGAACAGTTCAGATGAACACTTTTGGAAATAAGGGATGTGATAGCAGATAGTAAGAAGTGGGAAGTGGAAAAAGAGAAGTGTAGCAAAAAGGAATGCAGTTTGAAGGCGGTACAGTCTGAGATATGTAGTACAAAGTTGTCCCGATAGTTTCGTTCGTCTCTTCAAGCAACTATGAAATCTCATAAATAAAGACCGGAATAGGTTTAAGCACGCATTCAATGCAGCTTTACCCTCCTTTACCCTCTCTTTCTAATGGTTGCATTTTCGAATCATACCTTTTTGAATGTTTCTTGATGACTGCCAAAATTTTTCACCGTAATTCTACCCAAAGCTCTGCTAACGTTCGCAATTTTACTGATTCGGAAAAGATTATGTGTGATACAAGTAGAGCAAATCTCTTTACAGATTGTGGTGCTTTCGGTTCTTCTAATTGTTTGGAGCTATAGAAGAATTTGGAGAACTTGTTTAAAGTCATGGAACAAGCAACTGCAGCAAAACTTAGAAGCTGCAGAATTTTTCCGAAAGCTTGATCTTTGTTATGCTTCATTTGTGCAAAACAACCAAGTTGGTCTGTTTCAAGATCAAGCTTTTCGAAACGTTCGACTTCCCCCCGATGGAAATCCTGGGACTAACCACTGGTATTGTCCCTAAAATGTCTTTACTCGAAGTGAAATTTTTATGGAAATCATGATAACTACGTCAGAAGTGACACATACACAAATCTTAGACTCAGCAATGCTGCAGAATACCAAACACGTTTCGGAAATGTTTTTGTTTGCTTCAGCAAATGCTAATGCAGAGTGAAGTGGTTTTACGCTTATGTATGCAAACTATTTCAATCTCTTCTTTGAGCAAGATATTTACTTTGAAAGGATAACCATTTCTCAAACATTTTCGTTCTTTTTTGTTTGCGCCTCATGTAGGCTTTATATACGTCAAATCTTTGAGTCTATCAAGAAAAACTCTCAAACTCTGTTTATTGACTGCTAGAAAATCACTTCTCTTACTCCAGTGCCATTGCTTGTCTTGATTCAAGGAAAAGCGGAAATTTAGAAGTGATAGTTCATCACCTGAACAACAAACAAATTGCGCCAATTTTTACGACAATGGCCGGAAAATGTCATATGCTGTCCAAAATTATATCTAGGTATATTTGGATATTTGGACTGAATGGTGCTCCTAGCAAAATAGAAAAATTGATCTCGCCCAAGTTTGCCGAAATTTGCTATGCATCGCCAACTTTTGCTCCAGATTGGACAATTCTGACCCAAGAAGTCTCACCTTAACGCCGCGCATTTTTTGTAATGGATGTACGGGCTGGTTAACGTAGATGGAGAGGTAGTCAATTTTAGCAGCTACAAGTTGTAACCAGCACACTAAGGCCCGTATGCATGTACTAAGGGAGCATCTGAGAAGGGGGACGCGTTATATCTTGCTATTCTAGATATCTGTATTGCCTTTTTCTCTTTGTATTATAAAGGATGAAATACGCTAATATCAAGTATAATGGATGACAGAACATTGCCATACAAACTAAGTACTGTTTCATGTAATCCCCCAGGGGATCGCACACAGGAAATTTCAGTTTGTATGGCAACGTTCTGCCATCCACCATAAACAAGTACTATTGTACAAGAGCCTTTATAGCGTAGACAGATAAAAATTTTCACAAAAACTGGCTGCCTACCGTGTACCTACCGCATCCAGACATCCATTTCACGTATAAGAAGATGCACTTCGACAAGTTGCCACTCTGGGCCGAGATATAATGACGACAAAATATGCGGGTTTGTATCTATGTGGACATCGATACAGAGACACCAGTCGTTCCACGTAGCAGAGCAAATGCTTTATTCATGCCGAAAAAATCAACTATGAGCTTGGGCCCGCACTACAATCTTGCTGAGTGGTAAGCGTTCCCCAGCATGGTTTGAACGCGATTGGGCTAATCTAAAGTCAAGCACATCCGCAAATGTTCATCAAACGGTTTCCAGAGAAGCCCTGGTAGATACATTGCATATGAGAATGGGTCGCGAATTTATTGAGAGTTACTTACATGGCTTATGAGAGTTTTTTCAAAGGTCAAGTAAGCCCTGTAAGAAATTCAGGCTTGTGGCTCCGTCACGGCTTATTCTAAATTGGGGTTATATGTTAGCAAAAGTTATAGGTGGCATGCCAAATAATTTTCGGAGTAGTCAAGCCACGAACCTTTACTAGGAAATTCCCCCCCTCCCTCCTCCCCCCCCCCCCCACCCCCTAGACGGATATTCTGGGACCGCCGCTGCACCACACGTATACGATTACACTATCTTTGAGGAAAAGTGAATAAGTACTGCTGCCCTCAATCATTACAAACTCTCTGTGCAAAAACCATCGTCACGTTTCAGTATGCACCACTTGACGCTTGCCTTACTGCTTAGTGTATTACTCGTCGCCGTAGTGGATATAAGTCAGGTGAAAAAATTTTCTTTTAATTAGCAGCTCTTTATGACTATTACTCGTCCCAGCAACCAGCCTCTAAATCTTAAGTAGTTTGCAGGCCAGGAACGAAGAGGAAATTCAATGGAATTCTATAAAGGCTGTCAGATTTAACAGGGAAGAAGCCCGCGGTCCCATGGATTATGCTAGGGGAAGCAGCGGATTCAAAACTTTCCACAGAAGAAATCCATTGAGAAGACGTTATCGTCAACGAGTTCGAGCGCGTAAGTTTTACATTTTTTTCATAGAAAGAACTTAAGTTTGGACTTTATGTCATAATTGAATTGACAGTCATTATACTATTTGACGAAATTATGCGCCGTCCCTGGCATCTTGGCATAACGCATGAGCAGCATTGCAATCTTCGAAGCTAACAAGGGAATGGTCAGAAATCGAAGTGGCCATTCCAGACAAGCTGCGTAGCGTTAGATGCAGCATGAAGCGCTGACTCTAAATCTGTCTTCCTAACCTGCTTATCGCTTTTCTGAACGATGCTGTAAGCCATTCAAGACCATTGTTTGGCTTAGAAATTATGCGTGAAATTGAAAATTTAGCCGTACAGAGCCTCGTTCGCCTCAATGCTGGGCCAAAACATGCAGCTAGCTTACTTAAAATTTTGAAGCCAGAAGCCGAGCTAAAAGTGCAACAATGTGCTCAATTTCGCTTTTTTTATGTATGATTTTTTCACAATAAAACCGCTTGTAGCTTCGTCCACAGAAGCGGGAAGCAGATAAGGAAGACAGATTCGAAGTCAGCGTTTTATTCTGCATCGAATGATATACAGCTTGTTTGGTTTGGCCACTTCGACTTCTGACCATTCCCTTGTAAGTCCGCTTGACGCCACGCATTATTTGCTAGAAGAGTGCATAGAAGTGCTTGTTTAGGTTCAACAAGGTAGGCAGTCAATCATGAATCCTTTGGTTTTCACTCACGGCACATTCTTCAGTGTTCTGTTTATGTATATTTATTGAAAGCCGATGAGATTAGATTGCCTACTATGCACCTACCGTACCAAACGGCCAATCCTATCTAGCAAAAGATGCCAGGTTTCGAAACACTTGGACGGAGTTCATGAATTCAGAACGCGTTTCTGAATTGCCGCTTTCCCATTTTTGTTTACTTTTGACTTATTTCCCAGACCCATATACTTGTGAAACAAGACTGTCAGCGAAAATTCTTGTTCTCAAAAACCATAAATCTCTTTAGAAACCAAAAAAGCCCTTTGATTGATATTAGTGGTGAAGGGTAATTTTGGGAGCGATTTGTGCATGCACGACTTCTAGAATATAATGTAGCTAAACTCTGAAATGCTGTTGTAAGGAGAAGCTTGTGTAAAAATGGGCAAAAAACCGTGGAATATTTGTGACTTCAATGATTTTTTTTGAATTCAATTTTTTTCCATTCAGGAGGACAATTGCTAGATGGCGACGGCCCAATACCCCCTCGCACCTGGGGCAGAAAACACTACCCATAGGAGAAAACAAGCTAGACTTACACTCAACCTAATAGTTCATTCGTTGACAACTCTATGTTTTTGCAATGTAATAGAGCTCAAACGTACTGCAGATACTCCTTTCCAAGTTGATAATTGATGATTTAAATAATGAAAGTTAATACTGCGAGCAATCAAAATAAAAACCTTTTTCTCTCACTCATTACAGAAAGAGTAGTTGCAATGTACCAATACCTCTACATCCGCTATGAAAAAAACCTAGATTGGAGGCAGTGTGCTCACAAATTTTGATACACATAGGTTTTTGTTGGTGAATAATATTGAGGCATTATCCTTGGCGCAGCGTGAATGTTTCATTCGTAGCATTAAATCCAACTTGAAATCGAAGCTTGGACATCTACCGTAGCCGGATATTCAATGGTCAGCTCGAAAGGTTACGGTTGTGTTAAAGTTTAGAGTTAGATTTCTAGGCCGCGAACAAGCAGAGGATCTGAAGTTTGGAATATTTAACTAAGGCCTTGATGTTAGCATCTAAAGAGAACATCCAACATCTAGAATTCAGTGGACACTGCCTTTGACAAAGTAGCTCGTCAGCCTTGAAACGGATCGTATGGACATCCCTCTCCTCTTACCAGGGAAGGGCACTGGCGAACTGAAATGATATGCATATCATTAGATGCGTCTTGATGAGCTAATTCCAAATCTACTTTTCTTATCTGCTAAGCGCTTTTCTAGAAAAAGCCTTGAGCGATTCAAAGTGTGAAGTTAATGGGGTTTCGAGGCGTAATGTGCTTTGAAGACCAGCTTGGGAGTGATTAATTGGCATGGTTCTGAGTACATTGGCTACAGGGATTGCATAGATACATCAAACATTGAGTAAGTGTTCTGAACAAGTAGCTCTTGAAGATGTGGCACTGAATGTTTGCCAAATTTGTACATTCAACCGCTCATAACTCCATTTGAAGACCAGCTTAGCAGATAAAGAACTCGGAATCAGCTCATTAAGACGCATCTAATGATGTGCATATTATATCGGTTCTCCACTGCGATCTGGTATCCTTCCTTTGTTACTAACCATTATGTGACATCTCCCCTTGCACCAAGTGAGGTTTTTTCCTACTTCTTCTGCTGTGAATAAGAGACGATACTGAAGAGAGGCGTACACTCTTTAGTAAAACATTTTGATTCAGTAAAGCACAGCTTCGTTTACAAAACTTCGACAACTGATGAATTGTGCACTTTCACAGAGGCGAACGTCCCAATAGTACAGTTATCAAATGTGTATGAAGGATAGATATGACTGTTGATACAGCTCTCACATAAGATACATACTTTGCGTACAAATGTGGCCGACACAAGTCTCACAAGATTTGTCCTCGATGATCCTAAAACACTTTGTTGACCGCGAATTCTGCTATCTATCAGTGAATTCGAGTGCTAGAGTGTGTCAGCAGTAGTGACGACACTTGCGCAGGAATAAATGTCATTGTACATTATGATTTGAGCGGTAAATCTCATGTGATTGCTGAATTCGTCAAGAAAACACAGAAGAGAATGAAGATGGAACAAAGCCTCTGTCACGTGATACACAGCCGTCACAATACGGTACGAGCCGTTGTGCTGCGAAAGCAGCGCCCAATTTTGACCTGAACTGGGTCGGCACAGACTGTACAGGCCGACATTCTGTTTTTGGCGTGCGCACAAAAATTGGCAAAGGCACTATCAACACTTACGCTGCGTTCATACTGATCCGGAAATTTTGCCACAGTTCCAAGTGCTGCAGCCATTTGCACAAGTACTGATCGGCGGTTTAGCAGTTTTAAACGTTTTCAACGGAACTCATTGTAAATTTTACTCATTTTCGTCTAGCGTAAGCGCAAGAATGATATCATGGAAAGAAAGTGTGCAATCTTCAGAGCGAAACACTGTTTTAGAAAGACTTGATACTTTCCGGACAATTTCTTTGAAGACCTACGAAAACCTCGTTTTTGTGAACAAATGCTCTGCTCGATTTCAGTTTTCTCTCCGAAAGTTAAACGTGAGTGCAAGAATGATACTGTGGGAGAAAACTGTACGCTGCGCAGAGCAAAATACTATCTCAAAAAGATGTGATCCACGCCCCGCTCAAATCTTGAGGAAACCTCCAAAAATCCTGCTCTGAGCGGACGCGGCAATACATATGCTGATGAATTAGAAATTCATTAAAAGTATAGGTCTGAAACAGCGCTTATCTCTAAATTTGCTCCTGCCCGCTTGCTAGTGACCCATAGGGCCGCTTATCTTAAGTCGAATGTCTGCTTGTGTGTCTTCTCTCTCTGGGTATGTTCTGAATGGATTTTTTATTCCCGAACGGATCAGCAACATACTCGGCACACACACACTCCGGAGCATGGCGAGTATCGTAGGCTGCTTTTCTTTATGATCTATATATTTTGTGGATTCTTTTTGAGCTACGGCGGTGGGAGCTGACATAAGGTGGTAAGTGAACACGCTGATTAGGAAAAATAGTGGGGCAAGGTATTGGCTATGGGCGGAGAAAGCAAAATGTGGTGAATCAAGGCATGGGAATATTCATCATAGTGGTGTATTACATGCTGACCAAGCAAGTTGCACCTATTATATAGTAGTCATTGGTCTCAAGCAGGTGTACGGTAAAAGATGTAGATTTTAAAATTTGTTGAAGATTTGTGAAGTGCGCTTCGTGGTTTGCTGTTCACCTGCACTACTTAAAATAATACAATATGATGAGAATGTTACACTCACCGTTCTAGCCCCCTTTTTTGCCTCACTAGATCTATCAGGTTGAACACTTCTTGCACCAAAAAATTAGAAGAAATTCGCTTGCAACGAACTAATCAACTTAGCAGTACTTTCTTTAGTTATGCGCATCAAAGTTACCATTTTATTGTATTTTAGAAAAGCAGTTTGAAATAAATAATTAGTCAAATCAGAAAATCGAATTTTATTACTACTAGTAGACATCCAGTCTATCAACATTATTGCCATAAAACAGTAGTTCATAATACCAAGACCAAAATTAAATTTAGACTTCAGTAACCGAAATAATCCGTTTTTGAAAAGATAATTTTGGACGCAATAAAAACTACCGTAAGCATCAAATCAGTGGCTGTAAAAATGATACTTTTGCGTGACTGTATCCATCATAAGAAAGAGTTTCTGGCTTGAAGGTTGCCAACAACTTTTTTCGGAAGCCTCTACTTTGAGAGCATAACTTGTGTTGAAATAAAGTAGGATAAAGCAGACTTCGCTCATCGTGTAGGCCAGGGTCTCTTGAGCGGTAATGCCAAGCTTGGGTTTTACGGAAAATTTTTGAAAGAAAATTCGCGAAAAAGTCGAAAGTACTCACTTTTTCTGGCATCTCGGGGGTTTGAAAATCGGCGTCATTTGAAATTATTTCATTTCTCTTCGCTTGAAAGTGAGAAAACCCTAGCGCTTTTCTACCATCAAATGAACTAGGTCTACCCTTGGTGGATAGTGCGGAAGACCTGCAATCGCCTTTTGCTTCAAATTATATAGTACGGAAGGGCCGCGACGATCACTCAAGCTCGCAATCGAATTTCTCGGCTCAGAATTCATGGAGAATTTTGCTCAAATAGCATCTTATAGCACAAAGTTTCCTAATCCCTATGCATAAATTTCAAAATTAATCCGGCTATTCCTTATGGATTTAGGGCAAAAAGAGTGAAAAGTAAAAATTTTGTGATTTAGTCTCTTTTATTTGAAGGCTTGGAACTTTGAAATGAACGGAGATGTACGAAAGCGAAGGCACGCATGAGAAACTAGAAAAAACGCACTTTTAGATAGCATAAAAAGTTCTGGAGGGAATTGACTACACATCAAATATCAGCTCTGGGAAGAAGGGGTGAGAAACACGTGCATTAATTATGAATCAACCTAATATGTATTATTTTACACTAGCTGACTTACCCGGCTTCCTGTCAAAACACTATGATAACGATTCCTGATACAGGTTACCTATCACTCAACGTACTGGATTGGTCAAACTTTACAAAAAATCCATAAAAATCGATAAAATCATATCGACCTGTGACGAAAAGTAGCCTACGACACTCGCCTCGCCCCGAAGTGTATGTGTGCCAAGCTTGGTTGGATCGGTTCAGAGATAAAAATTCCTATTCGGAACATGCGTACAGACAAACAGACAGGCACACATACAAACAGACATTCAGCTTTATATATAACATTTATCGTGGAGGACATGCAGGAGTTTCTGAAACCTCCACAGAACCTATACATCATCAGCACGCGCACTTCGTAAGGTCCAGCATTGCGAAGATTGCTTCACCTACTTTTTAATTCATTGTGAGCACTTTTGGCCTAAATGGAGGTAGGGAATTTACAGGATTCATTGAAGAATAGGATTCATTGAAGAATGAGCTGAAGTTCTCTGCAGACGTTGATTGTTTATAGAAAAAAAACTCGGCTTGCTTAAAACGCTTACTCTCAAATGGAGAGGCAAAGGCTGGAGCAAAACTAGAGTGGTGCTGTAATTGCCTCGCGCTTTTCCTCGAATGGTAGTTCATACATTCCTTCACCTCAGCTTTGTCAGGGTTGTTTTTACAGTTGTCGGCAATTCGGGCAGAGACAGGAGTAACCGCCGTTGCCCATGAGCTCAGTTTTCATAAGTTGTCGCAACTTATGAAAACTGAGCTAATTCGGATTACTGCAGGCAAAAACATTTTGAGACTTTGCAGTCAACGAACACTTATGATTAAAATAAATAGTTATCGGGAAGTTTATAGCATTCATAGTCTCATAGGTTTCATAGGTGTCAAATTGAGGTAAAATCCGAAGATGGTGTCTTCCCACGTGCTCCATTAGCTGATCCGTCTAGAATAACATTGGATGAAGATATATGAGATAATATTAAATTCTCACTTCTGTGTCTGTATTGGTAGCGTCTTCTGTGATTTCTTTTTCTGTTTGGTTGGTTTTTGGAACGTTTGTAAGAATAATTATAGAAGAGACCTGGAAGGGCCGCGTTGGTCCTATCCATTCTCATGGCTTTTATCTCATCCCATTCATCCTCACTTCCTGAATACATTGTAATTAACGCATAGCTCAAAAATCATCCAATATGTTGACTTTTACCTGTGGTAGTGGCAACGTTTTTATTTTCTTTCGCCTTCTTCTTTAATTGGTTCCCTTTATTCGAAAGAGCAGCAGCCTTAATATCGTCTAGCAACAAAAGAACAGACAATCTTTCTCTAGTTTTGACATATGTGCACTGAATTGTTCAAACGGACACGTACTATTTTGTGAAACCCCTCGATAATTGCTAATTAGTCATCAAACTGGCAAACCCGGCTCCGCCCGGTCCTGTCAATAATGTATTCGAATCAGCATGTTCACTTACCCCCTCCCCATCCTGCACACCCTGCACAACCTGCACAATGTGCACAAACATACAGATTTTCTCCTTTATATATAGAAATTTGGTGCAAAGATTTCAAGTCACTTGTATTGCTATGATAAACAATCGGGGGGGGGGGGGGTCCTGAATCAGTTGCCGTTCACTGTTCTCCTCCAAAATGATAGTGCGCAATTTAGCAATCAATAGCAATAACTGATTACGACTATTGATCTTTATAAAAAATAATAAATACTGAAATTTTGTAGAATCGTAGCATGATGGAGTGATCCCAGATTTTTTGTAGAGGAGGAGGGGTTGGTTTTTATTCCCATGGGAAGCACTTTTATTTCAAAATTGCTAAGAGTATCGTTAACTTCCTTTACAAAGAAATGACGCAAAGGGTTTTCTTACAACATTGCTTTGCTGTAGCGCACAGAAGTATACAAACATCTCAAAGATCCCCTTTCAACCTCCTGTATGATCTTGAGTAGACGGAAGTAGATAGGGAGACATTTCGCACAAATTTAATAAATAATCACACTGCAAGACTTGTTCAAATACGTCGGCAGACTCTTCAAATGTGCCTTTCTCCTTATTTTTGCTTAAGAAGCCGTCTGTGAATTTGTTGCCCGCGTGGCGACCTGTACAGGAGTGGTCCTAACACCTTTATGGTCGTGCGAGTCGGCCTATCCGCAATGTGCTCTGCTGTCATGTTACAGGCTGGCTTTTTGCAAGTGGCAAAGAATTGTTAATTTCGGCAGACTGCAAATTTGTAATTGTTGTGCAAACCAACAACTTCTACTAAAATATACTTTTTACTTGTTTCTGGAAGGAAAGGAAACGCAGGTGCGAAATTTTACACAGAGAGTGTGGAAAGCATCGGAAAGATTGGATACGAAAGGCATGTAAAGGTCACTGGTCTAAGTATCACTATCGATATCTTAAGCTTCTACAATATAAGCGTAAAGGAACGTAAACATGTTAACGCTTAAAATTGAGTTTGCCTCAGTGCATCTTTTGAGCTTTCACCAGTATGACAACCAACAGATAGATAGCTGATTTTCTTCTAAATGTAACCTCTGTTTGGGTGTACTGTTTGTACGTAAGATTCATATCCAAACGCACTGGGAACAAACTTTACATCTACTGGCCTGCGGTACACCATACCTGGGAGCCGGAGGAGCCCTAGGCAAAATACAAGCCCGCTGAATAGTGACCATACTTACACTGAGTATGAAAGAAGCCCCACCAAGCATATTGATTATAATTTTTGTAATTAGCATGCCAAATAACACCTTTGGAATGTTTTAGCAAATTCTGAGGTTTCCAACTGGGCCACCCGTAAAATAGGCATTTTTCGAATGAATTTAACTTTGTTTTAAGGGTGGGTTAACTACCTTCTTTGCAGGAACCACAAAGCATTACTCCGTTTCTGCCCATACCAAGGTATTCAATTCAGATAACATCCAAGCATTGGGCTTAATATCGAGCCAAAATCTTCTCTTTCCCGTTTTTTGGCATGGTTGTGAACAGTGAAACAAATGTGAGAACTTTTCTTTTTGTTCTATTGCCGTGAAATCTACATTCAAAGAAGAAAATTTCTTTGAGACAAATGTAATGTCTGGTCCCTGTAAATAGCTTGAAAATCAGAGCAAACGCAATCACGGAACTTTTGTTTTACGTAGTGAAACCAGGCCTAAAACATTTATGATAGAAAAAAGAAAATTTATCTTTATTGTCAGCAGTGAACAAAATAAAAAAAATTCGCAAAAGTGGGCCAATTTAGAAAAAGCAAAATAGGTGGGGTTTCTCAATTTTTTGCAAATAATTCTTATGATGAAATTCAGCAAAATTCGGGTGACTTGACATCCGCTCTTTGCGTTGAGTTTCTCATCCAAACCTCAACATTAACCTAAAATCAGCACAATTCTGGGCCTCAAAAGGCTTTTGCTTTCCGTTACGATGAAATGAACATACAGTATATGCAAGTTCGTAAAATTTATACTAGCTAAAGAAATCCTGCGGCGCTGAGCCTTTGCTTTTGACTATGCAGGTATCATCCCACAAAAATGACTGTCTCTAGACGGTCATAGCTTTTCTTATTTTGTAAATAAAAAGCCTCAAGATTGGTTCTGCAAAATTCAAAAACGTCAGCACTGTTATAATCACATATGCAGTGCAAATCCTTATCACAAAGCTTCGCGGTAGACAGAATTGAGGTCCAAAAATGTGCTGACGCTAGGGTAAGGTTGAGATTTTAATGAAAAACGAGTACAAAGTGGTTTCTCTCGGCGTTAAACAGCACACTTATTCGAAAGCTTAACTTATTGCAGAATCGTGTTACAAGCTGATTACAGCCTCTAAACGACAGAAGAACAGACGTTTTTTGAAGGCACCAACTTTAACAGCAATTTAAGAAACGTGAAAAGAGTACCATCCTACACTGAGTTCAGTGAGTAGCAGATTTCACGAAAACGAGCACTGTAACCTTGCAAAAAATCTGAAGCAAAAGATTGCAACTTTGGGTGGGAAAGAGCTTTACTAATGCTCGTAATTACAACCGCTCAAAAAAAGTGTTCGACGCAGTTCGACGCAGCATTCCCTCTTAGAAATTACACCGATTTTCATTCCTGTGTTACGTCGATGTTTTCGACTACGATCTTTCACATTTCACCAACGGCTTTTTGAGTTGAGAAAAGTTAGAGTTTGGAAATTCTCAGAAAAAGGTGTGTTACTGTAATTAAGAAGCGCAATTTACTAGTATTTAAAGTAAATGAACGATTGTCGCTCCAAATTATGAGAAATATTAAATCCAAGTAGCGAACTACGCACTCGTGAAATCGAGCTACTTTACCTTGTCTCGCAAAGAATAGGCAACCCTCAAAAAGGTAAAAAAGTTGCATCGAATGGTACCTGAACTCTTCACCCCTTCAACTTTTACGGATTTGGCTAGTAAGTGTTCAAAACTTTCTGAGTTTTACAGTCCTTCCTTCCTTACTGAGTAGTTCTGGGGAAGGTCTGTAAATACTTTTACTCCGTCTAAGGGCAGGAACGATAAGGAGTCTTTTGTTTGTTTACATATTGTGAACTGAAAACGTTTTCTTTTTTTATTGCTGATTAAAAGAATATATTTTAGAAACTCCATAAGACAAGCCAGACAGCTCTTTTGCATAAGTATGAAAAGGTTTGTAACATCAGCTAGCCACGGATTGCAATCCCCAGCAATCTTAGTTTCGATAACGACTTACACTGGGAAGCAAGGTGCGATAGTGTGAGAATTCTCTCACCCCCTCATCACCCCTGAGTCGGGACCAAGGTGACCCCCTTCACCAAAAACCGAGAAAAAAATCAACATGAGGTAAGGTTAAGCAAAGGAGCTATTTGTACACGAGTGGTTTATGTACAGGTATGGAGGAATCTATTGAAATAAGTGCTTGGTGACGGGTGTGAGTAGTGATTTCTGGACATTTTGAAGTTTTTAACGTAAAAATTCATAACTTGTAGATGAACACCTTTTACGGCGAGATGGACACCACTGGAACCGCCTCGTCCTCCGCTTTCAGAAAGCATATAGCATATCTGAGATCCGTTCAAGAAAATGCGGTGAATTGTGTGCCAACTGATTTTTGGGAATTTTCGAGTTCTTAACGTAAGAGATTAGTAAATTTCGTAGATGAACATCTTGTACGCCGCGATGGTCACCATTGAAACCGGCTCGTCCTCCGCTTTCAGAAAATATATACTTTGCCTAGAGTCCATAAAAAAGTGCCTGGGTAAGGGCGTCCTAGTAATTTTTGGAGATTTTCGAGGTTTCAACATAAAAAAATTCATAACTTTTGTAGATGACCATTTTGTACGACAAGATGGTCACCATTGAAACCGGCTCGTCCTCCGCTTTCAGAAAATATACACTTTGATTAGGGTCCTTTATAAAAAGTGCGGGGTGAAGGGTGGGAGACACTTTTGTAATGGGAGTGCTCAAGTACAGGTTTTACCATTGTAAAAAGACGTCTACTTGAGCACCCCCATTATAGAAGTCTCACCCACCCTTCACCCGGCACTCTAACGGACCCCAGGCAAAGTATATCTTTTCTGGAAGCGGAGGACGAGGCGTTCCAATGGTGGCCATCTCGGCGTGAAAGATATTCATCTACAAAAGTTACGAATTTTTTTATGTTAAAAACTCCAAAATCTCCAAAAATCACTAGGACACCCTTCACCCAGGCACTTTTTTAAATGGACTCTAGGCATAGTATATATTTTCTGAAAGCGGAGGACAAGACGGTTTCAATGGTGGCCATCGTTACGGAATTTTCTATCTTAAAAACTCGCAAATATCCAGAAATCACTACCCACACTCTTCACCAGGCACTTTTTCGAAAGACTCTAGGCAAACTATATATTCTCTAAAAGCAAAAGACAAGGTAGTCTTAAAAACATTTCCCTTACTGACGTTGCTGTTCATCTGCAAAAATTATGAATATCTTCTTTAAAAAATGTTTAAAAATTGTCTAACCCCTTCCGAAACAAATATTATCGCGTGCACGTCTTCTATGGTAATTCCAAAAACAGGCAGGGTGATGTAAAAAAGGAAAAGGAAATGTTAAAATATAAGGTGCTTTTCAGAAATATAGATGTGTGCTAATCCAGCAGCACATCGATTCACAATTCAGAAAAAAAGATAACCAGTGATGGTAAGAAATAAATTATGAACTTTGACTAGGAAAAATAATGAGAAAACACCATGCCTCCCCCCCCCCCCGTCGACATTTTATAATTTCTCTACCAAGTGAAACACCCTTCACCCTGGAGAG